GATAACATGGGGAGAAATGCCAGATATAGGTGAAGGGGAGGAAGGCAGCAAATCACACTGCCATGTGTGTACCTATGCAACAGTCTTGAATGTTTCATATCTACCCCAAAACCTAAAATGCAATTAAAAAAAGAAACAAAAAAGAAGTTTCCTCAAAAAATTAAAACTAGAACTACCATATGATCCAGCAATCCCACTTCTGGATATATATCCAAAGGAAATGAAATCAGTATGCTAAAGAGATTATCTGCACTCCCAAGTTCTATTGCAGTACAATTCCCAATAGCTAAGATATGGAATCGACTTAGGTATCTTCCAATAAATGAACAGACAAAAAAGTGTGGTGTATATATACACACACTAGGGAATACTGTTCAGCCAGTTCAGCCATAAAAAAGAATGAAATCCTGCCATCTGTGACAATATGGATGAACCTAGAGGACCATTGTTAAGTGAAATAAACCAAGCGCAGAAGGACAAATAACACATGATCTAACTGATACATGGATCGAAAAAAACTTATTTCACAGAAGTATAGAGTAGAATAGTGGTTACCAGAGGCTGGGGAAGGTAGCAAGGAAGAATGGGGAGAGGTTGGTGAACATATTCAAAGTTACGGTGGGCAGGAGAAATACATTCTGCCCACTACACAGTAGTGGTGTTTACTGCACAGTAGGGTCACTAAAGTTAACATGATGTCTTATATATTTCAAAATAGCTAGAAAAGAGAATCTTTAGTATCCTCATCACAAAGAGATGATAAATGTTTGAGGTGATGGATGTGCTAATTGCCCTCATTTGATCATTACAAAATATATACATATATCAAAACATCATATCATAAATATGTAAAATTACGATTTATCAATTAAAAACAAAACTTAAAAAAGGTTGAGTTTATCAATCCTATCTCTGCCAAGCAGTGCAATCTTGGGCCAATTACTTATCCTCTCTACACCTCAGTTTTCTCCTTTGGGAGATAGGAATAATAATAATTTGAGATTGCTTTGAGATTTAAATGAGATGAAACAGGTCAATTGCTCAGCATGGATCCTGACACATAGTAAAGTAATAGGTAATATATCATTAATACTTATTAATGATGTTATTACTATTAATATTAATTTTTTTGAGATGGCATCTCGCTCTGTTGTCCAGGCTGGAGTGCAGTGGTACGGTCTCAGCTCACTACAACCTCCACCTCCTGGGTTCAAGTAATTCTTCTGCCTCAGCCTCCCAAGTAGCTGGGACTACAGGTGTGTGCCACCACGCCTGACTAATTTTTGTATTTTTGTTACAGACAGGGTTTCACCATATTCGCCAGGCCGATCTTGAACTCCTGACCTCAGGTGATCTATCCACCTCAGCCTCCCAAAGTTCTGGGATTACAGGTGTGAGCCACCACATCCGGCAAATATTACTGTTATTTTCCTACTAGTTTTGAGAGTCTAGGCAAGTTTCCAACCATGCTGAGAGCTTCAGCTTGTTCTGGGGACCAACTTATCATCACGATCATCATCATCATCACCACCATCATCTTCATTACCATGGACATCAGCATCTCAGTGCTTTCTGGACTTTTAAGTGATTGCATTTTAGCTGAAAGAAAGGGAGTTAAGATGCTTCTATGCTTAAAAAAATCAATGTAAATGTTTGCAACTATATAAAAATTGTATATGTACACAGGAAAGGACTGAAAAAAAGCAGGGAAGAATAGACATTGATTTGTTTGGGTGTTCAGCATGTGGATGGAGTTTTAAACTTTTCTTTGATTTCTACTAACATAACTGTATGTAATAATGCTTTAAATAGGTTGATTATATACAAATTATAATGAATCTCCATACACCTATCACCTACCTTCCCTACAAACAATTTATTTTATAATCATGAAGGAAAATTCAAGTCAGCACTCTGACCAAATATAATAACTTTCATGAATAAATGAGGCAATAAAAATGACCTAGAACATGCAGGTGAGGAGTAGGAAACAGAAAATAAAAAGATTTGGCTCCACTGGAAACGTCCAGCTGGCTCCAAATAACCAGAACCCAGGTGTGCTCACACCACATCATTCCTTCTATTCATTCAACAAGCATTTACAAAGCCCTTGTTGTACACGAGGCCAGGCGTGAGGTCCTATGCAAAACAAGAACGCTACTGGGGGAATAAAGGAAAATGAAGACCAAGTCCTTGTTCTTGCTGATTTCCTACTCTAAATCTAACCAAAGTATTTTAGTGCAGGGTTATATTAAATACATGCTATAACAGAAGCATGTCCAAGTTGTGATGGGAACGGACCAAAGAAGGGAGACGCTCTGCTGGGGATGGGAACAGTACCAGATTCAGAGGAGGTGATGGCGCAGTGGCACACACCTGTAATCCCAGCACTTGGAGGAGGCTGAGGTGGGCGGATCACCTGAGGTCAGGAGTCCGAGACCAGCCTGGCCAACAAGGTGAAACTCCGTCTCTACTAAAAATGCAAAAATTAGCTGGGTGTGGCGGTGGGCGCCTGTAATCCCGCCTACTTGGGAGGCTGAGGCAGGAGAATCATTTGAACCAGGAGGCAGAGGTAGCAGTGAACTGAGATCGCACCATTGCACACCAGCCTGGGTGACAAGAGCAAAACTCCATCTCAAAAAATATATATATTCAGAGGACGCATAAGTGGGGGTTAGAAGGCCAAGGAGAAGCAGAGGGCTGAGCCTGGCAAGCCGAGTGGCCAGGAGGAGCAGAGATGATGGAGGGAGCCCTGGAGACCACAAGCACCAGGGGAAGCCTGGAGGGTGGGATGCAAACAGGTGAGAGGAGAGGCAGCAGAGCCGGCAGGAAGAGTGGAGGCGCTGAATATCACAGACGAGAAATGAAAAACTCACTCCAGCCGTGTTGCTGTTCTCGGAATAATCTTGAAAGTGTTCTCCGATTTGAATTAGTTAATAATGACTTGGCTTCATGTAATGGTGCTTCTGCTCAGCTTACATTGCAAGAGGATTTTACCGTTCTGGTTTCATACTTCCAGAAGAGACACGGCTTTTTTTTACAGGCCCCTGGGGTTTAATGACTATGCATTTAGGCTTTTGCAAGATTTAATGGTTTAATACTGCAATGGATTTTAAATATCTCCTAAAAATAATTAAAAAGGGATAAAAACAAGTCATGATTAAGTACTGAAAATGCTTTAAAATTTTTGCAGTCAGGTATTATGTCTAATTAAATAAACTCTATTTCCACATTGACACATTGTTTGCAGTACGCGAGTGCCATTCTCAGGCACTCAGACCGGCCCCTGCATCACAGCCATATTCTGCTGCTTGGAGCACACATTTTTTGAAAGTCCCAGAGAGATGGCCAGGTGTAGTGGCTAACACCTGTAATCCTAGCACCTAGCACTTAGAGAGGACAAAGTGGGAGCATCACTTGAGATCAGGAGTTTGAGACCAGCCTAGACACCGTAGCAAGGCCCTGTCTCTCCAAAAGCATTCTGAAAAATTATCTAGGTGTGGCAGCACATGCCTGTAGTACCAGCACTTCAGGAAGTTGAGGCAGGAAGATTACTTGAGCGCACTGCACTCCAGCCTGGGAGACAGAAGGATACTCTGTCTCAAATAATAAATAACAAATAAAGGAGGTCCTAGAGAAGGGAGTCTGTGCACTCCTGTGTGCTGGCCCAACTAAGTTCCTGAGAGTGGGACTTGCATGGGGAGTTGAGATCATTGATGGGACCTCAACCACCCAGTTTGGAGGCTCAAAGCACAGGAATGCTTTGCCCAGCGTCCCGTCTGGTTACCCCATAAAGTATAAGCCAAACAGGCCAGGTGCAGTGGATCACAAATATAATCCCAGAATTTGGGGAGGCCAAGGCAGGTGGATTACGAGGTCAGGAGTTCAAGAGGAGCCTGGCCAAGGTGGTGAAACCCTGTCTCTACTAAAAATGCAAAAATTAGCTGGGCGTGGTGGTGGGTGCCTTTAATCCCAGCTACTCGGGGAGGCTGAGGCAGAGAATTGCTTGAACTTGGGCAGCAGTGACCTCGGATTGCTCCACTGCACTCCAGCCTGGGTGAAAGAGTAAGACTCTGTCACAAAAAAAACAAAAAACAATACAAAGTGTGGTCGGGTGCGATGGTTCATGCCTGTAACCCCCGCACGTTGGGAGGCCTGAGGTGGGCGGATCACAAGATCAGGAGATTGAGACCATCCTGGCCAACATGGTGAAACCTCATATCTACTAAAATACAAAAAATTAGCCAGGCATGGTGGTGGGCACCTGTAGTCCCAGCTACTTGGAAGGCTGAGACAGGGGAATTGCTTGAACCCAGGAGGTGGAGGTTGCAGTGAGCCAAGATCACACCACTGCACTCCCGCCTGGTGACAGAGCAAGATTCCGTTTCAAAAAAAAAAAAAAAAGTATAAGCGCAACAGAGACCTCAGAACAAACCAAGGAGTGAGGAGAGAAAAAAAAAAAAAACTTTGAATTCAATTGAGCTGGAACCAAAACTTACTGGAAAGTCACTGAATGTAACTACACGTTTATGGATGTTTTTGTGTGTTTGTTATCGGGCAGCTACGAGAGCTTGAGCTAGATTTAGGTTTAGTTGTAAGAAAACAAGACACTTTTTGCATAACTGAAATAATTTTTTGACCGAAAATCATGTATGCTATGTCTACAGAGCTTTTTAAAATTGAAAAACACAGTTAATGAACACATTATGGGAAAGAAAGCAAAACAAACTTTTTTGAAAGGGCAAGAAAATCAACCTTTGCCACAGTTCCTGGCTCTACAGAAATTTGTATATTTGGATTTAATTTGTCCTGAGTTCAGTCAATTGGAGCAGTTTATGTCAGCTTTGGTTCTCTTCACATCCCTGTAAATATATTTGCCTTTCAAGAAGTAAATATGCCCCACACAAGGAAATTTAGAAAGGTAACTTATGCCCCGCAAAACCTTTTCTCTCTGTTTGAAAGCATCTGGAATACCCAGACAGAGGTAAGTTTTCTTTCAGAGGCTTCTGGTTTCTTTGTACATGGACATAGAAGAACTCAAATGTCATTCTCACCCTCAGGAAGTATGATGAATTTCATTCCAGGCAAAGGTGGATTCACTGCGAAGTTAACACAGCTTAAACTTCAGCACCCCTCACATGCCCGGGACACTCCCAAGGCACTAGGTGAGGCCACAGTCATGTGTTCATATTGAAAATAAACTATAAAAGTTAGGCATTTTAGCTGCAATCCACTTGGAATTCTCTCTGTCACACTTCCCCTCAGTTTAGGTGGCAAGAGAGTGGCCAAACATTTTTGGGGTCTAGCCGAAAGAACTTGGATAAGAAATGCATCTTCTTGGCGGGGCACAGTGGCTCATGCCTGTAATCCCAGCACTTTGGGACGCCAAGGCAGGCAGATCACAAGGCCAGGAGTTTGAGATCAGCCTGACCAACATGGTGAAACCCCGTCGCTACTAAAAAAATACAAAAAATTAGCTGGGCCTGGTGGTGTGTGCCTGTAATCCCAGCTACTCAGGAGGCTGAGGGAGGGGAATCGCTTGAACTCAAGAGGAGGAAGTTGCAATGAGCCAAGATTGCGCCACTGCACTCCAGCCTGGGCGACACAGCGAGACTCCATCTAAAAAAAAAAAAAAATGCATCTTCTTTGGGTTAGGTGGGGTGTATTTACGTGATTTGCAGTCACTTCCACGGATAATGAAGTTATTCTTGGCCATTCTGGTGTTAGAATAGATTCCAGGGCAATTATTGCCACCCACCATGCATCTCAATTGGCGTCGTAACATGAAGGTTCAAAATCAGAGGACATGCTGAGATAGAAATGAGTTCTAGTTCTAGGGCTCCTGGCACCAGACATTAACTTGCAGAAGATTTTTCCGCTTGGCAGATGTCATGGTGCATTGTTTGCAAAGTTGGCTGCAAAAACTACTCCCACACTACACTGTTATTTGTTTGCAAAGTCTTTGTGGTATCTTCCATCAAGAGCCCCCTTTATTTCACCACACCTCAAATCTAGGCTACAACTAGGGATTGGTTTGACCAATAGAACCTTGCAGAAGTGATAGATTCCATTTCCTCCAGCTGAGCAAATTGCCTAGGATGTAAGAGGCCAGGTAGCTTTTTTTGTGTGTTCCTTAAGGAACTAAGGTCTTGCTCGGTCACCCAGCAGTGGCACCATCAGAGTTCACTGTAACCACGAACTCCAGGGCTGAAGCTATCCTCCTGCGTCAGCCTCCCAAGTAGCTGGGACTAAAATGTGTGCCACCATGCTTGGGTGATTTTTTATTTTTTATTTGTATAGATGGAATCTTGCTATGTTGGCTGGCCCCAAGTTATCCTCCCGCCTCAGCCTCCCAAAGTGATGGGATTATAGGTATGCACCACCATGCCTGGCCATGAACAGGTAGCTTTTACATCCACCCTGTTTCTGCCATGTGAAGAAGCCCAGGCTAGCTTCCCTGAGGATTAGAAGCCACAGGAAATGGATGCCAGCTGACTGCCCACATCAACCACCAGATATGTAAATGAGGCCATGTAAGCCCATTCAGCCGGGGTTTAGCCACCAGATGGCTGCGGCTTCATGAGTAATTGAAGATGAGACCAGCAGAACCACCAAGCAGAGCCCTGCCCAACTTGCTGATCCACAGAATCATAACAAAATAAAATTGTTGTTGTTTAAAGCCACTAAATTTGGGAGTCGTCGTTACACAGTAATAGATAATAACTGACACAAACGTGAAAAGTTGGGAGCAGTGGATTTGGTTCTCACAACACCTAATCAAATAGAAGTTCTCTTCTGTCGGAAGTGCACTCAACAATGCAGTGTATGCAATTGTTATAGAATTCTACATTTTTTTTTTATTACCTTCCTTCCTTCCTTGTCTCTTTTTTTCTCCCCAGACAATGACAGATTTTTTATAAAACTCAAGCCTTTTTTTTTTTTTTTTTTTTTT